GCCGGGGCTTCTTAAACAGCTGCTCTTCATCAGGGACGCCTGGCAGATGGAGAAGAGATGGCAGCAGGTGTCAAAGGGGTCAGTCAGCCCCACTCAGCCCCATGCTCAGGGCCTGAGGGACAGGCCAAGTCACTCCCCGCTGACCAGAAGCACAGAGCCCAGTTCAGTCTCCACATGGCAGAACCTTAACGACGCTGGGGAGGGCCTCACTCTCTTGCCAACTTCACACACCTGCCCTGTGACAGACTAGGACCCCTCCAAGGCCCAGGATGCAAGGAGGCACAGACACACCAGCCTGAAGGCCAGGTCCAAACACACAGTCTGACAATGCCGCCTGCTCACCCTCTGGGTAGTACATGAGGGAGTTCTTGGCCTTGTACTTCCAGGTCTCCACGCCAGCCTGGCCGCTCCCGATGGCTTGGTGCTCTGCTGACGGGAGTGCAAGATTATCTTTCTGCCTCTGCATCACAGGGGTAAAAGTGAGGGTCAGAGAAGCCCCAGGCACTGTGCCCTGGCCCGGGACTCCCCCACCCCAACAGAGGGCGCCTACGCCCCCGCACCCAGAGCAACCTTCTCAAACTCCTCCTCGGCCTGGTAGAGCCAGGCGTGGCGTGCCCGACTCTTCTCCTTGGCCACCTCCATGATCTCCTGGAAGGAGGCGTTGTCCTCGCTTGTGTACCGGCTCAGGAAGACATCCAGGCTGGGCAGGGGCTCCTTCTCTTCCTCCTCACCAGCCTCTCCTGCTCAGGGGTGCAGGGTGGGTGACACAGAACCACAAACGACACAAACACCACTTTGCAGTCAGTCAGTCCTGGGAACCGCAGTACCCCACAAGTAGGGCTGGAACCCTCCCCCCGACCCCACGTCTGTCCCTGAGAGGGCACGCTGCCAGACATCTCCCTACCTGGGAGTGGAATCATCCCACCCCAACTGCCCAGGGAGCCCTCAGGGGCTCTCCTCATCTGCTGGATGCCAAGTGTGCAATCTGTTGCACTGGAAGGGGTCTATCCAGGTGTTAGACAAAGAGCAGGACATCACTGTGTGTCTCCCTTGGCAAAATGGTGCCAGTCGTGTAGGCCCGGCCTCCACAGCCCCGGGCTCCCCTCCATCCCAGGACCTCCTTCCCCTGCCTGCTCCTCCCTTCCTGGAACCTGTGCTACAGGTGGGGGGCTATCACCTAAGCCTCTTGACCTCCTAGTGGACCCTGACGGCAGGGAGCCTGTATGATCTGGCGCTCAGGATAGAGCCTCACAGGCATGGGGCCACAGCCCGGCCGCCCCCCTAGCCCCCGCACCACCACTGAAGGCACCCCCACTGAGGTGCTGCTATCACACTGCACACGGCGGTACAGACTTCAGTGGGGCCATGGGGAGGAGAGCCTTTTGTTCCACCCTAGTGACAGTCTTAACCATCTACTACCCACTAGGCTGTGCACAAGGCACGTCAGCTAAAAGTTCAAGAACCGGGGTCAAAAAGATGAGGACTCAAACCCCATTCCACCACCACCACCAGCTCTGAGACCTGCAGAAGTTACAGCCTTCCGAAGCCTCGGTTTCCTCGCCTGAGCCTGTGAATGACGATGGTACCTACCACTTAGGTTGCTGAAAGGATCCTGTACTTACTGACAAGTACGGGGAATTTGAAGGAAAACAACCTGCATATTGCCTGTGAGGCCTGCGTCATATTGCCATGGAGAATCAGGCTCCAAGGACCCAACGTGATGGACCGTGTTATTGGCAGAAACAGCCAGGTTTTAAAACAAAAAACACCATGTCTGTGTGAGCACACAGGCCATCTGTGTTAGTACAGCACATCACAGACTAGGATCTAGTAGAGAACGCGTCTTGTCCATCTGTATGGGCACTGACGTCCTACTACCGACGGGAACAGTGATGCCCGTGTGGAAGGCCAGGAGCACGCGGTACGCCTGGGTTCAACAGGGCTCAGAACGCTCCTTCCTAGAGAGACGCCCTCGTAAAGTTAGGATGGATCACGCACCCCAGCAAACACATGGAAGCAGACAACTCGTTCATTTGTTCCACGCACGTATTTCTGGAAGTTCCATAACACACCACACGGGGTTCTAGATGCAAAGCATACAGATGGAAGCAAGACACAGAACCTGTTCTCGTGGCGGGGAGAGACAATGAAAAAACGAAATGCCTTTCTAAATGCCATGTCCTGAGAAAACTAAACCAGGCGGGAAGGCACAAAGCACCAGGGCGATCAGGGCGATGTGACTTTACACTGGAAGGTCAGGAAGGGGTTCTCTGCACGGGCCACCCCCAAGCAGAGAATTGAAGGAGGAGAAGGAGGAAGCCATGCAGTTATCCAGGGGAGTGACCCACTCAGAAGACGCAAGTGCACAGGCCCTGAAGCATCTTAAGGAGACAGTGAGGAAAGGAGCCCTCCCAGGCCCATGGAGCCCACTGGGTGGAGGGTTGCACACAGTGAGCAGGCCAGTGAGAGAAGTGGTGAGATTTCCATTCCACAGAGGAGGGCTGGAGGCTCAGAGGATTGCCCGAAGTTTGGGAGCTGGACCCAGGTCTTCTGCTTCCTAGACCAGAGCTCTTTGACCCCCCAGGTTGCCATTTAGGCAAGGAGACCTGTCAGGGACAAGACGTGACCTGCCTATGGACCCCCCCAGAGCCTTACAGAATGAGATTCCCAGGCAGTCCCAACTGTGTGTCCCAGAGGGTGCTCACTCACCGTCACCATCCTCCAGGCCTCGGCCCCGGCCTCGGGGCTTATTGCCCACCACTCCAGCGCCTGTGTGCACCTCAGGGGTTTCAAACGTGGCTGGAGTCACATCTGAGGGAAGAGAGGGTGTGGTGATGTAATGGGCCTGAGCTCAGCAGGAATTCCTCTCTCTGCCACCCACAGGAGTCCTCTTACAGGGCGGTGGGGGCTCTCGGGACATCTTGCCCAGATCAGAGCCAAACTTGATGGCAATCTGGCGCATCCGTTCCAGGTCTCCATTCTCCTCAGCCTCCAAGTACTCCTTCTGTGCCTGCAGCTTCTCCACATCGGGAAAGAAGTCCCTCTGGATGACCGCCTGTAGGCCCTGCCAGGAGAGATCAGGATAAAAGTTAGAGCTGCTACCTGGGCGCCCGCCCCCCACCTCTCACTCTACTGATGTACATGCTAAGGTCCTTGCTGACCCCCAACTTCTGCCTGGCCAGGTGATCCCCAGAGCTTAGGGGCCCATTCTAAAGAGGACGAACATCTCATGTGGCCTTGCTGCAACATCTAACATTACTAAACACTCCTCTGATTTCCATGCAACCCTTCTCTCTCCCATCACTAAATGGTCATTCTCATTTTCTTTTGCCAACTCCACCTCCACGCTAGCTGGACCAATGTGGGTGTTACCACCTTCATTCCACCTATGATCTACCTCCAACCTGAACTCTTTTCCCAGGCGATTTCAGCCACTCACACCACCCCCCCAACCGGTTGAGATTCCCAAGTCTGCCCCTCCAGCCAGACATTGCTCCTGAGCTGCACATCTGTGCATCCGGCTGCCCGCTGCTTGCATACCCTAGAGGCTTCCCAAACATAACCAGTCCAAAACCAAACTGACTTCCTCCAGTTCCTGGGCCAGCTCCTCGGCTTCAGCATGTGGGCGGTAGGATTAACACCTACCCACTGCGAGTGAGGCGCACTCACTAAATGATGCCGCCACCATCGCAGCCTGTTTCCAGGCCCAGCCTTTGCACTTGCTATTACTACTCTCTAGAAAATCTTCTCTGCCACCATCTTCCCAGCCTGTCAACCTCGCGCCTTATTTCCCTGAACCGCACCACATACAAACAGAGCCGCCCCCTCTCTTCCCCGACAACACTGCGGTGCTTCCCCCATCAAGGGCACCTCCTCCGCACTCTGCTTATTTGGCTCTGGGGACTGTCCACAGCCCAAGGGCAGGGACTTGGGCCGCTCTGCCTCCAGAAGGGGACGGGAGGACCCCGACCCTAACAGAGTGCGAGGCGGAGGAGGGACCCAGAAGTCACCGGCTTCTGCACCGAGGTCTTACCTCGATGTACTCTTCCTCGTCCAGGACCCGCTGCTTGCTCGTCGCAGCCCTGGCCTCCCCGGCCGCGCGCTTCCGCCGGGACCCGGACGCGACCGGGAGCAACACATCCCGGGCTGAAGCACTGGGCGTCTCCATCCCTATCCCAGGACCCTCTCGGCCGGCGCAAGCGCGTCACAGGGTCGGGAGGAGGGCGGGACCCATTCAGCTGCGCAGGCGCTTCCAACAGTTGGCCAATGGGAGAGCGCGTTTAAAAGGCCGGCTCGCGCTCCGTACTAACGTCACTATGAGCCTTGAGCTTTATGGGAGTTGTAGTCTTCCCCCCCCCCCCCCCCCCCCCGCTCTAGTCTTGCGTATCCGGGCTTGTGAGCACGAGGGGGCGCTGTGGTGGTGGTGGGGGGTGGGGGGTGGCTAAGGGGCGTGTCGTTCAAGCTAATCGTGAAAAATTCCTGCACTGAGGAATTGAAAGGCCTCGGAATTCCAGTTTCTCGCAAATAATCACTGCATGTGCTTCTACGTTATTAAGAAAAACACACTCTTCAGGAAATTTGGTTATATACGAGTTTCAAAGCTTTTATTTAAACTTTATGCAAGAAAAGAATCCTAACATAATTCTTTCTCAATATTTATTTAACAAAAGAAAAAAGAAAAATACGATGGCTCAATAAAGAAATGTCTGGTCAAAAATTATTAAGTCCCTGGATTCCAGAGTGGGCTTTCCAGAAGAGGGCTAATTCTCACTGAAGTGGACCAGTAGGTTGCCTAAGCATTCTTCAGGAGTGATCATTTCTTCCCAAAAGGAGGTTGTGAATTTCGTCAGAGAAGAAAGATTTGCCCTGGAATGATTTAGTACAATAGGCAGTCGTTCCGTGGCTCACAGGGGCCTCCATGGTGACGGTTCCTGCCCTTGCAGCACTGACAGCCAAATGGGTTAGACAGACACTAGTTAGGTCATCCCACAGACAACTGCAAAACCGCAGCCACTGGAGCAAGAAAAGAGCTTGTACCTCGGCAATCTTACCGAGGGGGCAGTCAGGAGAAGTGGCCCCAGGCAGGAAGTGGTTGCAGATCCAAAAGATGAGCTGGCATTGATCAGGTGGAGAGGGAAGAGCATGAGCAAAGGCCCAGCAGTAGGAGGGAGACAACCTTTGGGTATGCACACAGTACAAGGAGCAGTTAGGTGCAAGATGACACGAGAGGGGCAGGACCAGGCTGTGCCGGGCCTCGTGGGTCATGGTGAGGAGTTCTCTTTTTATTCTAGGAGCAATGGGAAGCCCTGGAGTGTCATATGCAGGGGAGAGGCAGGTTCAAACTTGCACCCTGGCTTTCATGGAGAATGAATTAAAGAGAAACCAGAGTGGGTGCAGGTGGACAAGACTAGAGGCCGCTGGCGGTCAAGGTGAGAGATGATGGCAGTTTTCATCAGGCTGCGCAGTTGAAGCTTGAGAGAAAATAGATTCTGAGATTGGTTTTGGAAGTAAAATCAACTTGCTGTTGGCCTAGGCACAGTGGGTGAGGAGCAGAGGGCTCGGGGTGAGTGCCAGCCCTCTGGCTCATGCACCTAGTATGCGCAGGGGAAGAGCTTGCTGTGGGCTTCCAGGTGCAGTAGTCAAAGGGACAGTTGGACATTAACATCTAGCTCAGGGGAGAGGCCTGGCTGGAGACGTAAAGGTGGCAGAGACGTGGGAATGAGAGGCTGAAGGTGGAAGAGAGAAACCAGGGAGAATTTGAGATGGGAGGGACTCAGCCTCAAGGACACCTACGTTAATGGCCAGCTGTTGTGTTGAGCCCACCATGGAAGAGCTAGAAAGGAAGGAGAAAAATCAGGAGCGCAGCATAGTCACTGGTCCCGTGAAGGTGTAGCTCTGATCATGGCTTTCCCACACAATGACAGACAGCCACTCAGCACAGGAGGGTGCAGGCCTTGGACCCTAGCAAGGTGAGGGCGTCACAGCCTGTGGGGGCCTCTGCAAGCTGACTGTGCAGTCTCCAAGGATGAGGCCAAGAGTCAAGGAGAAAAGCCTTGTGACAGCCAACAGTGTGCATCCTGGGGAGTGAGGGGAGGGGTGCTGTCCTGGAGGCACTGGGCATTGTTAGGGCAGCCCTGGCTGGGGACACCAGACCCACTCAGTGTTATCTGAACTGGCCAGCCTTGGAGGGTCCCAGAGCTGCAGCCCTGGCTCCTGCATCTTTTATGGATGGACTGTGTCTCCTGCTAGATACCCCCCATTCCCTCCAGGACTTGTGAGGAAGCAGAACAAGGTCCCTAAGCCAGATGAGGCGGGTGTTAGGTGCCTTGGGCCCACTGTATGCCTACTTGGGGAACTGAAGCCCTGTTTTCACACTGTCCTTCACCCTGGGGCCAGAATGATGGAGGGGAGAGCCGACATTTTCCAAGGCAGTGGGAAGGTCTCCCCAGTCAGACCTCCTCTTGACCCACAGGATGGCAGGGACTGACTGCTGTGAGAGAGGCAAACACCAGAGCTGGGAAATCCCCCAGAGGGAGGAGGCCAAGGTGCCCAACTGCGAAGCAGGCCAGCAGCACCTAGAGGCTAGTGCAGGCTCCCAGCGGCCGGCTATGGTGTGGGGCAGTCTGCTCTGCTGGAGGGCACCCTGGCACAGGGACTGAGGATTTACTGGGCTGTACTCCCAAAACAAGGCAGCCCAGCACGCCCAGGAAAGGGGAAGAGCAGCAGGTCCCAGCGGACGTGGCCGCGCACGTGGCGGTGGAGCCCGGGGGGGCCTTGACTCTCGACTGCCTTCCTGGTGTCTGCAGTGCTTGTTTCTGCGCACCCGCACAAGGCTCACAGGACTAAGGAGCGGGGAGGGGGCTTCTGGAGACGACCTCACCCAACTTTCTTATTCCACAGGTCTGGACACTGAGGCCCTGCCCAGGACCTGCAAGGTGGCAGCCACCTCAGCATGCAGACACCCTTCCCTGCTGCGGGAGGGCTGTAGGCCACGTCAAGGAGGCCAAGTCCACGCTGAGCAGACGACGGAAGCCAGCACGCCCTAGCAGGAAGAAGGGGATTCTGGATATCCTGTGTTGACAAGGGGGAGTCCTGTCCTGGGACGGGGTTAGCGCCGTCCGTGGGGTGCCGTTGGCGGGAGGAGGAAACTGACCTGCTGTGTGCCCCGCCCCCCCAGCCCCCAGGGGATCTCCCGGGTCCTCCTGCCCGCTAGCCATTTGGGAAGAGAACGCACGGAGATGCTCAGATTCCCCTCCTTTAGCGGGGCAGGCGGGGCACGGACACACACACAGACATCTGTTTTCCTGCACAGGGGCTCCTGCGTTGAGCCTTAGCTCCCGGATGCAGGAAGCTGTGCAGACGGCAAGAGGCTGGTGTCCTCTCTCAGCTCCTTTTCGAGTTGGTCTGTCCACTCTCTGAGCCGGCCCCAAAGGACGCGGCCAAGCTCAGGAGGAGCTCCCAGAGCCATCAACAGCTCTCCTTGGGGGGTTTCTTGGGTCCGGGCAGGAGCCTCGCGGACGCTGACGCGCGCTTCTGGTGTCGCCACTTGGCCCGGCGGTTCTTGAACCAGACCTGAGCAGAAGGAGGGACTACTCAGGTCCAGCTCCAGGACCCGCGCGTCCCACCGGGCTCCCATAGGTGGACCGGTCAGGGGGCTTCCGGACGGGGTGTGGGCGGATGAGGGCTGCGGGGAGGGCACCAGGCAGCGGCCGCGCGCCACCGTCTCTTAGCAGCAGCAGATAGGGACGGTGGCCGGGCCGCGGAATCGAAACCCCTTTTCCGACCGGACCAGCCACCCTTTGCATCCCTTCCCACCCCGCTCCCACCTCCGCCAGGTGGCGCCCAGGGCGCCCCTCCTGCAGCGCTGTGCTCTTCCGAGCTTCCCAAACTCTGGAACATGAACGTGCGCCTCATTTACCATCAAGAGAAAAAAAGTCTAAAACAAAGGAGAAGAAAACTAGCCTTACCTCCCCTCCAGTTCCAGCGACACTTTCCCGCACGTGCCTGGCCCCGCCCGCCCCTCGGCCGGGAATTAGCCCTGCGCGCCCTCCCTCTGCCGTGACGGGACCCCCGCGCCAGGGCCTTCTTTGGAAAAGGAGGAGGAAGGCAGCGAGCCCTCCGGCCCCCCTCGCCGTCCAGCCAGCCGGGCCCTCACCTCCACGCGCTCCTCGCGCAGGCGGATGCGGCCAGCCAGGCGCTCGCGCGTGCCCACGTCGGGGTACTGGTTCTGCACGAAGAGCGCCTCCAGCGCCTGCAGCTGCTCCTCGCTGAAAATGGTGCGGTGGCGCCGCGTGCGCCGCTGCGGGCCCGGGCCGCCCGCGCCGGGCAGCGCCCCCGAGCCTCCGGTCGGCGCGGCCAAGGGCAAGGGCGCCGCGGGCCCCAGCCTCAGCGGCCACGGCAGCCGCGCGCCTGCGGGGCGAGGGCGCGGTGAGGCGCGGGACGGAGAACGCGCACCGCACCACCGCGCCGCGCCCGAGGACCCCTGCGCCCGCGCCCGCGCCCACTCACCCAGCCCGGCGGCTGCCTCCGAGGGCCCGCGGGGCGCCGCGCGGGGGCCGCAGCAGCAGCAGCAGGCGCAGGGCGCGGCCTCGGGCGCCTCGCGCTCGCCGGACTCCGCAGGGCTCTGGCGGCCGGCGGGCTGCGGCGGGCGGGCGGCCCGGGCCGGGGGGCTGCGCTCCGGCAGGCTGGAGAGGATGTGCTCGATGGAGAAGGGGCAGGGCTGCCCGGGGCCCCTTCGGCTCGCCGCACCCCCCGCCGCTGCCATGCCGGCCCGGCCCCGCCGCCGCCGCCGCGGGAATATATACGTCGGGGGACGCGCGCCGTAATCCCCGGGCCGAGCGCCGAGTCCACGCGGGCTAATCCCGCCGCTCCCGCCACGAGCGCGCTAATCCCCAATTGCGGCGGCGGCGATCTCGCTCTGCATCGGCGCGTGGGGGCCGGGCGGGCCGCGGGGAGGGGGCCCGCAGGAAGACCTGTGCCCCGCGTCCGTCCTTCTGTCTGGCCAGGGCTAGCAGAACGCGCGGGCAGGGGACGCGGCAGAGGACCGCTGCCCACTGCCCGCCGGACCCGGCGATCCTCGCCCTGCCTTTGGGGAGCCTTCTCGAGGACGCCCCGACCCTGGCAGGCCCCTGGGTCCTCTCCCCCGGTAGCCACCGGGGTCAGGGCTGACTCCTCGTCCTCTTTGGGGCCCTACCGAGGCAGAGGAGCAAGTCTGGAGAAACCCACGCAAACTTCGCAGTCTCCTGGCCCCCAGACTCCTGGGCTTCAACCTCAAATGGGGCCCAACGCCTTCGGCAAACTTGTAATCCCACCCCTTAAGAGCCTGGTCCTCAACTTCCTGGAGGAGATAAGGGCGCGGGCACGAAGCTACTTCCGGTCACCACCAAACTCGCAACCCAGCTGCCCCGTGCCCCTCATCCTCCGCCTTCTCTCCTGGGTCAGGGAACCTTCCGGAGTCATCCAAGGCCCCTCAGTGCTCTGGAGCCGCCCCTCATCCTACTTTCCTATATGTCCCAGAATCCCCCCAAAACATTGAACACTCCTGCCCCACCTTCTTCACGGCCGGCCGGGCTCAGAGCTGACTCCACCTCCTCACTTTTCAGCCCAGGCCAGTCCCGCTCTGTCCGCGCCATCCCCAGGTCATTCCACCCAACGTTGCTGGTGACCTGCTCTTTGACAAATATAGTTAAGACCGTTCCATCTTCAGTTAAGCAGCATTGGACGGCCGTCTAGGACTTCTGCTTGCAGCCCTCTTCCCTGGACCTCTGAAAAGATATGGTCAGCTTGCAGGACAGATCAACAGCCGCCTGGCTTTTATATCCCATCTGTCACTTCCTGGCTGTGGGACCTTCCATAGGTTCCTTCACTTCCCTGTGCCTGGTTTTCCCAATCTATAAACGGGCATAACAAGAGGGCCCTCACTGCAGGCGCTCTCAGGGCTCAGCCAGTTAGGATGTGTGAGATGTTAGCACACCGGGGCTCCATGGAAGGTGGGTGCAGATCCAGGGCAACACACATTCCCACCCTCCTCTCACCTCACCAGCCCTTCCTCAGGTTCCTTTTCTGACTCCACTCTGGTATCCGTGAAGACACTTTGGACTTCAAGTGACAGAACTTGCTGACTCAACTACAGCCACAAGAGTGCCCAGGACTTGTTAATCTGGAGTCTCAGTGAGGGAGCCACCACCTCTGCGAGTGGCCCTGCCTCATGGTTGCAGGATAGCTGCCATGGCTGCAGACCTCCCATCTCTTCCCACATGTCCCTTTGGATGACCATGGAAACCTCTACCAGCCGACCTCCCTCCAAGAACCGTATGCTCACCATTAGGTCAGAGAGGCGAATGGGGGTCCACTTCCCATCAAAGTCAGAGTTCCACTAGGATGGGGGCGACAGGGTCAGTGGTCAGGAAGGCTGAGCCCGCCTCCTCACAGCCCTCATTCTCACCCCTGGTGACTTCCTCCAGCCTTGAAGCTTCAGGTACCATCTCTGTGATAACGACTCCCCAGTTGATACCTCCGGCCTGATCTCTCCCTCCGCTCCAGGCTAGCATCTTCCGAGTACACGCTCCAGGTCTCCATTTCCATCACCAGTAAACATTTCCCAGTCACCATGCCCGGAACAGACTCAAGATCTCAAAATCTGTCCCTTGCCTAATTTTCCACACCTTAATAAATGAGTCACCCACACACCTCTCTATCTCTAAATGCACCATCTCTCCCCCATCCACCTCTGCGTATACCCATCTCTTCACCAGCCCACCTTGGTAAGCGGCCCACCGTGGTGCTTTTCAAACATGGCAGCAAATTCTTTAACACTCTTCCCTTCAATAGGTAGAATCGAATTCCCTTCTCCTTAAACGTGGGCTGGCTTAGGGACTCTCTTCTGACCCATAGAATGCAGCAGAAGAGACACTACCTGATTTCTGAGGCCAGGTCACACAGCTGGGAGGTGCAGCTTCTCTCTCTCTCATCTTGGGATGCTTGCTCTTCAAACTCAGCCACCTTGCTGCATCGAGGCACCAGAACCTACCAGAGTCTCCAGGTGAAATCTTTCTGTTTTGTAGCATTTTACACAGGCTCTGGCAGGTCACAGGGCCAGGCACAGGGCTGCTTGTGCCAAAACCTAGACCTGCTGCTGACCCCTTTCCTGCTCTGGGCTTGACTCAAAGCTGGCATGCTCTGTATCACCCCCAAAATGGCTCATGGCCGCATTCACAAGTGCAGAACATGCTGCCTCCAAAACCCAAAGAAGCGTCCCTGCACGGTGCTCTTTTTCAGTGGCAGGTGGTGCAGGGCACAGTGACTCATCCTTTACTTTGAGGGGAGGTTCCAGCATGGAACATCAGCATAGGACCACTGGAGGCCCGGACATCCTAGAAACTTACCTTTTTACTACTGGGTTGTGAGAGTTCTTTATACATTCAGAATATATGCCTTTACCAGATATATAATTTGCAAATACTCTTCCCATTTTATGGGTTGTTTTTCACTTTATTGATGGTGTCCTTTGAACACAAAATTTTAAATTTTTGAATAAGTCTAATGTATCTATTTTTTTTCTTTGGTTTCTTATGCTTTTGGTGTCATGTCTAAGAAACCGCTGCCAAATACACGGTCATAAAAATTTACCTTGATGTTTTATAAACTATAAACTTTATGGTTTTAGCTCTTTCCTTGATCATTTGCATATGGTGTGAGGTAAGGGGCCAGCTTCTTTCTTTTGCATGTGGATATCTAGTTGTCTTGGCAACATTTGCTGGAAAGAGTATTCTTTCCTCCACTGAATTGTTTTTGCACCCCTGGTGAAAATCAATTAACTATAAATGTGAGGACTTATTCCTGGATTCTGAATTCTGCCTCACTGATCTATCCTTGTACAAGTACTAGACCGTCTTGACTACTGTAGCTCGTCTGTCAGTTTTGATATAGAGAGGTGAGAGCCCTCCAGCTTTGTTCTTTTCCGAACTTTTGGTTTGGCTGTTCTGGTTCCCTGGAGTTTTCATGTGAATTTTAGGATCAGCTTATCAGTTTCTGCAAAGAGGCTAGCTGGAATTTTGATAGAGATTGCATTGAATCTGTAGATAATTTGGGGAGTATTGCCATCTTAACATTAACTCTTCCAATCCATGAACATGGGATGTCCTCCATTTATTTATATCTTCTTTAATTTCTTTCAATAATGTTTTGTAGTTTTCAGACTATCAGTTTTTCACCTCTGGTTAAATTTATTGCTAGATACTTCGTTCTTTTTGATGCTATTGTAAACAGAATGGTTTTCTTAATTTCATTTTCAGATTGTTCACTGCAAGTGTATAGAAATAAATTGATTTTTGTACATTGACCTTGTATCTTGCAATCTGCTTAATTTATTAATTCTAATAGCTTTTTGTGGATTCTACAGGATTTTCTATATGTGACATCATGTCATTTGTAAACAGAGATCTTTATTTTTTTACAATTTGCATACATTCTGCTCCTTTTCTTGCCTAATTGCCCTGGCTAGAAACTCCAATACAATGTCAAGCAAAAGCAGTGGGAGTGGGCGTTCTTGTGTTGCTCCTGATCTTAGAGGGAAAGGATTCATTCTTCATCACTGAGTATGATCTTAGCTGCGGGTTTTTCATGGATGTCCTTTATCAGGTTGAGTTCAAGTTTCATGAGAGTTTTATCACAAAGGGATGCCGTACGACCCATCTAGTTTTTGCAGGAGCCAGACTAATGAATTAAATTGACATTTGCTAGAGACAAGCATCCTGCATCCTTTAAGTCTTTAACCAAGACATTCACCTCTGCTGTTCTTCCTAGGAGGCAGCATTGTTTTTTCAGTCTTTGTGAAGGGTTGGGCAGTTCAGGAGCTCTCACAAAATAGATCTTACTCGAAAGGTCAGAAACCATTGTGGATGTTCTGCCAAATGCTAAATATGTCTATTCCAACTACACACTCAAAACCTTGAGAAATAACCAGTGGATAGGTCAGGATCCCATGGACCCACCATGAGATGGTATCAGGCCAGTCTTCCACTTACTGCCTGACTTCTCTATACCCTACTCTAACAGGAGGCTATGATGGCACTTTGGGTCCCAGGTGTCAATATTAACATGGAGCCTGTGTCCAACAGCTCTAAAATGATCTGGGTTTTCCCTTTCTCCAGCATACAATTACCTGAGTAAATAGACATAGGTCCCTTTTCAGAAGGGTTAGGGGAATCCCTGCTATAAATGTTTCCCCTCGTGTTGCTAGATCCTTCCTCGACAAGAGAGAGAAAAATGATTGATTGAATAAATGAACAGAGTCTCAGGGACCTGAGGGACCCTGAGATAGACCATAACATCTATCATATGTGCCACAGGAATCCCAGAAGAAGCAGAGAGAGAATGGGGGTATGTATTGGTTTTCTATCACTGCTGTAATAAATTGCTACAAATCTGGTGGCTTAAAACAATACAAATTTATTACATTACATTTCTGTAGGTTAAAAGTCTGACACAGGTCTCACTGGGCTAAAATCAAGGTGCCAGCAGGGCTGTGTTTCTTTCTGAAGGAAAATCTGTCCCCTTGCCTTTTTCAGCTTCTAGAGGCTACCTTGGCTCATAGCCCATTCCTCCATCTTCAAAGACAGCAATGGTGGGTCAATTCCTTCTCACAGTTCCGTCACTGACCACTTCTGCCCTCTCTTCCACTTATAAAGACCCTTGCGACTCCACTGGATCTGCGGGAATACTCTGGGATAACCTCCCTATCTCCAGGTCCTAAACTTAATCACGTTTGCAAAGTCTCTTTTGCCACGTAACATATTCACATATTCACATATTCACATATCCACATATTCACATATTCACATACTCACATACTCACATATTCACAGCATATTCACATATTCACAGCATATTCACATATTCACATATTCACATACTCACATATTCACAGCATGTTCACATATTCACATACTCACATATTCACATATTTGCATATTCACAGCATATTCACATATTCACATACTCACATATTCACATATTAACATATTTGCATATTCACAGCATATTCACATATTCACATACTCACATACTCACATATTCACAGCATATTCACATACTCACATATTCACATACTCACATATTCACAGCATGTTCACATATTCACATACATATTCACATACTCACATATTCACATATTCACATATTCGCATATTCACAGCATATTCACAGCATATTCACATATTCACATACATATTCACATACTCACATATTCACATATTCACATACTCACATATTCACATACTCACATACTCACATACTTACATATTCACATATTCACATATTCACATACTCACAGCATATCCACAGGTTCTGGGGATTAGGGTGTAGACACCTCTGAGGGGTCGTTATTCTGCTGACCACAGGGAGGAAAAAGTATTTGAAGAAATAATGGTCTAAACTTTTTCAAATGTAATGAACGACAGACATTTGCAGATTCACTAAAGTCAGCATACCCCCATACAGGGTGAAAACAAAGAAAGCCACCACTAGGCACATCTTAGTCAAACATCTGAAAACCAAAGAGAAAGAATACATATGATAAATAGTCAGAGAAATATGGCACAGCACATACAGGGGAAGGATAAAAATGTTAGCTGATTTCTCATAGAAATGACTGAAAACAGTAGACAGTGGAATAGTATCTTTAACGTGCTGGGGGAAAAAATCCATACACCCAGAATTCTACGTCCAGCAAAAAATATCCTTCAAGAATGAGGGTAAAGTAAATATGTGTTTAAGCAAACAAAATCTCAGGTCATTTGTTACTAGCAGACCTGCAATTCAAGAAATACTAGACAAAGTTTTTAGCCTGAAGGGAAATGATATGAGACAGAAACTGAGATCTCCATGAAGAAAGGAGAGCATCAGAAATGTTAACTATATTGGCATATATAAAAGATATTTTTCTGGGGCCGGCCCTGTGGCCGAGTGGTTAAGTTCATGTGCTCTGCTGCAGGCAGCCCAGGGTTTCACCAGTTCGAATCCTGGGTGCGGACATGGCACTGCTCATCAGGCCACACTGAGGCGGCATCCTACATGCCACAACTAGAAGGACCCACAACTAAAAAATACACAACTATGAACCGGGGGGCTTTGGGAGAAAAAGGAAAAATAAAATCTTTAAAAAAAAAAAAAGATATCTTTCTTCCTCTTAGATTTAAAAAATATGAGTAACAGAATACAACAAATATTATAACATTACATCTTAGTTTTTATAACCTATAACCACTATCACAAAAAGACAGAGGGCACAGCAGTAAACAGAACCATACAGTCTCAGTGTTCTCACATTTCACATGATGTGGTACCATGTTAACTGTAAGTAGACTGCAAAAAGTTAAGGTGATATATTGTAAATCGTATAGCTACCAGTAAAAAGGGCAAAGTGGTATAGCTAAAAAGCCAATAGGAAAATTAAAATGGACTTCTAAAATATGTTAAATTGAGTCAAGAGAGGGCAGGAAAGGAGGAATAGAGGAAGAACAGAAAGGACAAACTGAAAACAGAGAGTAAAATGACAGATCTAAATTCAGCTACGTCAATCATTACATTAAATTTAAGTAGAACAAACACTCTAACCAAAAGGCAGACATCACCAAAATCACACTGAAAAAACAACCAAAACTAAATCCTGACTACAGGCTGCCTACAAGAGATGCACTTTCCATATAGACAGTGAGGGGTTAAAAGTAAAACAATGAGAAAATACGTACCATACAAACAGTAAGTTTAAGAAAGCTGGAGTGACTGTATCCCTAGCAGAAAAAGTAAACTTCAAGACAAAGGCTGTTATGAGACATAAAAAGGGGTATTTCATAATGATAAAAGGGCTACTAATCAGGAAGATATACAATCCTAAATCCTAAATGTGTATGTCCCTAATAACTGAGTTTCACAATACACGAAACCAGAAGTGACTGAATTAATGGAATAAATAGACAAATTGACAATCATAGCTGGAGTTTTAGCATCTCTCACATTAATTAATAGAATAACTAGAATAAATCAATAAAAAGATTAAAGTTTTGAACTACACCACTAACCATCTTGACCTAATTAACATTGACAGAACATTCCATCCAACAAATGAAGAACAACACATTATTTCCAAGTACATATGGTACACTCATCAAGACAGATTACATGCAGGGCCATAAAATGAGTCTCAAGAAGCTTCAAAAGATTGAAATCCTACAGAGTGCAGTCTCTGCCCAGCAATGAGATTAAGTTAGAAATAGATAAAAACTGGAGAGTGAGGTCAGCATCATTGTGGAGTGAGCTGTTCTCTAAGTCTCTTCTCCTTAAGTTACAACCAAATGGACGTTCATTAACCAACAGAGGATTCCCTACAAAGCACAATAGGACGTCTGAGAGATCGACATGACCACACATGTGAAGGTGGGGGCACTGGACCCCCGGGAAGTAGTGGAAGGAGGTGAGTGGATCTCCTCCCTCTCCCCAGTGGCAGCGACCTAGTTTGTGGGTCCTCACTCAGCAGCTGGTGTGTGACTGTAAGAGGAGGCAGGGGAGCAGGCAAGCCTGTATGCAAAAGCTTTCACTTTTGGCGTGCAGCCCGGCCTGCAAGAACACTCCATGCCGAGTGGCATGGCTCAGCCACCACATGGGCACCCCCACCAAGCACAGCAGCCCAGGAACACCACCCGTGAATGCAGAGCGGGTCTGCACATGTGAAAGAAAGCACCAGCCATCTCCCCGCCTAACTCACCAACTGGGCCAGTCCCCAGCCAAGGCAGCTGTTCCACACCAGAGGGTTTGCACTTGCATGTTTGACCCACCAAGCAGCTGTGGCTGGTGGGCAAAGGCAGACAAGTCTTATCAAAACAACTTCCAGCAGATGTGGTGGGTTCAGAAAGCACAGCTCCTGCCCCCATCCTGAGGAGTGGCGGGTGGAATCTGCAACCTCATACTACCGCTGCATGCTGGCAAAAGATCACTTCATCAAACACCACGGAGAACTACATTAACACCCCAGAGCAGAAGGAAAATGACAAGTCTCCAGAAACCAATCTTTTCTTTTTTCTTTTTTCTTTTGTGAGGAAGATTGGCCCTGAGCTAATATCCATTGACAATCTTCCTATT